CCAAGGGATGTGTGTACTGCTCATCAGTTCGCTCCGTCCTTCTCTATGACTGTGAAACATGGCCAATACGAGTTGAAGACATGAAAAGGTTGACTGCTTTCGATCATAGATGTCTGCGATCTCTGTCTCACGTTAGGTGGTTTCACAAGATAAGTAATGTTGACGTTAGGCGTAGAGTGTTGGGCAAAGAGGGGAAATCAATCGACGAGGCTATAAAGTTACATAGACTAAGATGACTAGGTCACGTGCTGCGCATGCCTAACCACCGCCTCCCCCGACGGGCATTGCTAGCTGATATAGGTGCAGGTTGGAAAAGAGCCAGTGGTGGCCAAACAAAAACATGGCCTCATCAATACATGAAATCCTTGACAGTTAAACTGAGTCAGGTAGGGAGATGCAGACTCCCGGGTTGGGGGCCTCGGGACTCTAGGAATCAATGGCTGGAGACAATAGGTGACATGGCTCAAAATCGTTGTCAATGGCCAGCGCAGATGTATTCAGTCTCTGTAATCTTTCATATTCCTTTCTACCATTACCCATTCTGTTTCACTCTTATACTTGTCAAACTCTATTGATTCTCTTCACTCATCTTCTTGTCTACCTCTGTGTGCTATTTGGAAGGTGGCAACTCGAACTGCTGCACTTCGGTGACAAGTTCTATGTTGAATCCAGACAGACAGACAGAAGAATACCATTTTAGCAATCCTAAAATTATTTGTTAAATGTTGTTCGATAAAATTGACTGATAATCTTAACCACTAACATTATCGCCATCATTTCACAATCTATATATGTTTATGATCTTATTGTCACTACTAATACCGAATAAGGACTGTCATAAACAATCCTGTACTATTACCTTTATAACTGCTTTTACTATTATTCGATTAAATTAGATGCAATAATGTACGGAATGCTGAAAATTCCACACTGCAACATTAGTATAAAGCACATTATTATTATTATTATTCAAATGACCTGCGATATCATCTCACGTGCTTGACTAAGATGCACTTTGCGTCATCAGAATGTATGATCTTGCAACACGTGTCCATGCAAGCTGGTGGTCTTCGATAAACTCCACATAAACAAACTTCACAATCAGTGTATTCCAGTTTCTCTTCTTTTCCTGTCAGCTCACCACTCCAAATGCATTCGCCATCATTCCGTGTTTCTTCCGAAGCAATATAACTATAAATGGGTTCTCGATCCCATCAATAATCGCTTCACACCAGAATAAATATTGGCGGTTTACGAGTAGTAGTGATCTATAATCCACAAAATATACCTTACTGCATATGTCAAAACTGGGATTTCAACACTAATATCCGTTCTTTAAGGGCAGTAAGGTATTTTATTCTCTTCTTAGGGGTACTGAAACCAGGAAAACAGCTTTCATTAACACTTGTTTGTGACACTAGAAAGCTTGGCATTGTGGGGGAACATATGAAAGACTTGTCAAGGGGGTTTGTCTGTCTGTTTGCGACATAGAACTTTGCACATATGTGCACCAGTTCAAGTCGCCACACTCCATGTAGCACACAAACCAAGAGAAGATAGAAGAAATGCATAATAGAGACAGTAAATAGAGGTGTGAGACAAAGGAGGAGTAATAACGAAGAACAAAACAGTTTCATTGGAAATCATAAGTCACAGGGAGTGGATGCATCTGCGCCACTGAGAACGGTTTTGAGCCATGTCACCAATTGTCTCCAACCATTGGTTTTTACCGTCCCGAGGACCCCAGCCTGGAAGTCTACACCTTCCTGCGTGGCTGGCTTAAACTAACTGTTGTAGATTTGATTGATTGGTGCCATGTTTTGGTTTGATCACCGCTACTAGCTAGCTCTTTTCAAGCCTGATCTTATGTCAGCTAACATCGCCTGTCGACGAAGACGATGACTAGGCATACGTAACACATGTCCTAACCATCTCAGTCGATGTATTTTCACAACTTCGTCGATTGATTTCCCCTCCTTACCTAGAACTCGACACCTAACCTCAATATTGCTCACCTTATTATACCACTTCACACGGGAAATAGAACACAGGCACCTATGATCGAAGACAGCTATCCAGCCTCTTCATGTTTTCCACTCTCAGTGGCCAGGTCTCACAGCCATAAAGGAGGACGGAGCGGACTGATGAGCAGTACACCCGCCCTTTGGTCGGTAGTTGGATATCACATCTACGCCAGAGACGGCCTAAACTGGCAAATGCGAAACCAACCCCCTGTATCCGTGCTGAGATTTCGTCAGAGATCAACCCGTTGGCACTAGCTGATGGTACTTCCCAAATAAGTGAAGCGGTCAACGTGCTCTACCACTTCACTCCCTATTTCTAATCTAGGAGTCGGTGTAGTCCAGTCCTGTAACATCATCTTGCATTTGGCAGGAGCGAAGGGGGTACACATATCAAATGAATAAGGAGTACTGTTTATCTGTTTACCACCAGTAATTGCTTTGAAAAGCTTCCATATGTTAGAGGACAGCGATTTGACTGAGACACCATTCAGATATTAGGCAGGGAAAACACTAAGAATGCTAGAGAATTTTTGGAAGCCCGATATTCCTGTGAATCGGCAATTAACAGGTACACTAACGCAGAAAATATTCACCAGTCTGTAAGAAGGTGATCTCATGCACAAAAAGCTAAATTTCGCATCAAGGAAACAATCAATACCAATAGAAGGGGACTAGAGGGTGTGAAAACACGCGAAAACAACCAATCATGACGTGCTCAATGCTACCTGGAGAGATGAACTAATAAAATCGTGGAGAAAGTTAAAAGCTCGCTTCAACAAATTGAAGTATGTGCGCTGAGTATGTTGCCTATTAAGGTAATTAAAGCTTGACAAATAAATCATCCAACTCAGAGAAAACTACATCAACTCCATGATTAACGTGAGTTGGGATGGGAGTGAATAACAAGTAGGAGATATACAGTCACAAAGAATATCAACAGTCTTCATCAGTGTTACATCAGCAAATAAAGGAATTAGTATCAAAAGAATACTGACAACTGTATAGTCTTATATGTCCAAACCAAGTTCACTTTTAACAGGGGCTCGTTTCGCATTTGTTAGTTTACGCCGACTCTGGCGTAGATGAGATGTTCGACTATCGACCAAAGGGCGGGTGTACTGCTCATCAGTCCGCTCCGTCCTCCTTTATGGCTGTGAGAACTGGCCACTGAGAGTCGAAGGCATGAAAAGACTAGCTGTCTTTGATCATAGGTGCCTGTGTTCTATTTCCCGTGTAAAGTGGCATAATAAGGTGAGCAACATGGAGGTTAGGCGTAGAGTTCTAGGTAAACAGGGGAAATCAATCGACGAAGTCGTGAAGCTACAAAGACTGAGATGGTTAGGACATGTGTTACGTATGCCAAGCCATCGCCTCCCTCGACGAGCTATGTTAGCGGATATAGGGTCAGGCTGGGAAAAAGCTAGCGGCGGTCAAACAAAAACTTGGCTTCACCAGTCAATGAAATCCACAACAGTTGGTCTAAGCCACGTAAGAAGGTGTAGACTTCCTGACTGGGGTCCTCGGGACGGTAAAAATCTATGGTTGGAAACAATTGGTGACATGGCTCAAAACCGTTCTCAGTGGTGCAGATGCATCCACTCCCTGTGACTTATGATCTTCAATGAAACTGTTTTGTATTTCTTTATTACTCCTTTGCCTCACACCTCTGCTCACTGTTTCTATTATGCTTTTCTTGTACTTTCTTCTCTTGCTTCGCGTGCTACACGGAATGTGGCGACTTGAACTTCCGCACATTTGTGCAAAGTTCTATGTCGAAAACAGACAGACAGACAGACAACAGTTTGAAAAAAAATTGGGCATTGGGTTTATATTCGTTATGATAAAGGTTTTCTTGTATTTCCCAATGAATGAAAAAAACAAAACGGTATTGTTTTTACTGACGTTTCGCTATTTGATGCTAATAGGTTTATCAAAGTAGTAATATTAAACCAGAATTTACAAAATATCAGCTTACATAAAACAACATAATCATCATTCCTCAGTATGGAATCATTTTTGCACTGTCAAATTGACTAATTAGTAAAGGTAACACAACCAGGTGTAGATTGTTGGATTCGATAAGTGTGTAAAATTAAAAAAGCAGCATGTGTTTACATAATAAAATTGCTTATCACATCCGTGTTGATTTTGTCATTTCATAGGTGGGAAGGGAGGTGTTGTAACCAGGTCAAATTCTGTTTTAGTCCATCATTCCTATTCAGACAGTTTAGATTCTATTTGATGTGAAGGGCTTATGATGATGATATTAGACGTTCTTTGTGATTCCTGAAATTTTTCTGGATTATTTCAAAATTGTTAAAAGTAATTTTGTAGCTTGATTCCACAGCTTAGCATGTAGACCAACTGTAGTTCAAATGGATTTCTCGGTGGTCGAACAAAGGCCGCTCTTCTGATTTTGATTTCTCAAAATGTTTGTCCGATGTATATCACGTCGCATTCCAAGCATTTTAGTTTATAAACACAATGCGATAAAGAATCTAATAACCAAGATTATCTAATATCAGAAGCACTTCATATCAAGTGGAATCCAAATTGGGAAATACAAAAAACAACCTGTATATTCATGTCTGATCATGTAGTTTTGATCACGCATCGACAATTGGCGTAAATATGTAATAATATTGTTGTTCGAAGTGTAATAGATTTCTCAAGTACAATACACATCACATTATGCTTCAGATAATCTCTGTGTCTTTTAATATAAACATAACACTATTCACACACTATGAGAAATGCAGGTACATTCAGCTGACGATCCCAAATCGAGACGAAATGTGCATCCTGGATTCCTCTACTAGTCACCATCCATCCACCAATTAGATACTATTCAAATTTATTCAAAAAGTATTATCAGTTATCGAATTTCTTTTTGATGAATGTGTTCATCATCATCAAACTATCCGCTCACCAGTCATCGTTTTTTTTAAAATTTGTTTTCTCTCTGATTTATTTTAGGTGCACCTGTCCTTCCTTTGTTCACAAAACCAAAACGTGTCCTGGAAGGGGATATCATTCGTATCATATGCTCTGTGAGCAGTTATCCAAAGGCATCATCAGTACTGTGGAGTTTTGCTCCGATACCGACTAGTCAAATGGACGATGACAATGCACTGACATCAGCATTAGACAGCTTAGAGACATTAGTAATCAATGAAACTAATTATGTGCTAGAGACAAGTAGTGAAACTGGCACGCCAAATGATACTCTACGATTCCTTAATTTGAAAAACAGTGACAATGGCCTGTATGCGTGTAATGTGACAACTGAATTGGGTACAGATTTCGTCTTGTCGATTGTCAATGTTAAAGGTAATTAATTAATTATTTAGCCTATTAATAACCTAAAACCAAAGTTGGGTAAAATCCTTATCCTAACTGAACAGACGTAAGAAGCCTGCTTCTTCCAGCGAGCTTCGAATATGATGATGATGATGAGCGAAAGTTGCTCAGACGTGTGCAAACTGACAAAAAGTCTTCACAACGACAGTCGTGAAGACCGTGATGGGCGATAAAAACGGAAGAGTAATGGAAAAGGCATTCAGCGATAGGTGGTAACACCAAACAACTATTAAGGCTTAACATCAAGGAAACAGATGGCAACAGGCTTAGGATAAGCGAGACAATCTGCGAGAAAGTTGGCGTCCTAATTAGCTTTCAGGAGATAGACGATTGAAACGTTGGAAGGAGCCTTTTGAGGAGCTATGTAACTGGTCATGCTCAACCTACCAAGCACCCAACACCTCTCTGAATGAGATATCACCACCGGTTCTCTGTCCCTAACTGAGGTTACAAAAGCTGTCGCTAATCTGAAACGAGGCAAAGCAGCATGACCTGATGGAATGACGTGACTCACTTTCCCTCCTTACTTAACACTCGACACTTGACCTCAATATTACTCATCTTATTATGCCACCTAGCACGACCTATAGAATGGAGGCACTTACGGTGAAATACAACTAGTTTTCTCATGTCTCCCACTTTCAATAGCCATACCTCACTGCCATAAATGAGGACGGAGCGAACTGCTGATCAGTACACACGTTATTTGACTGATGAGAAGTCAAATCCAGCGGGATCCACCAAGTAGAATCGGCCAAGAGGGGATAGTTACTCGCCTATGACGTTGGCCGGCGGCTAGGCTAAATATATCTCAAACAGGCAGAAGTTGGAATTTATGAACCATTGGATCGGGTCTCAGTAGCTCGCGTTAGAACGGGAAAGTCCTGGGTCCGAACCTTGTTGATGGGTGCGTACTGCTGAAGAGTCTCAGACAATGGTTCTCTAACTGCTGTCAGCTAATGATTAATCTCGTAATCCAAATATTCATTTTAATAGGCAGTCTCTTTACAAATGTATACTATGTCATGAATGATTGTAGAACTGAAGGGAACAGATTTCATGCACATTGAATTTTATTACAAAGAATGTTAAATACATCAAGCTCTAGGTCGAATTTGCCCTGTGAGGGCCAGTGGCTCTGCCTAGTCGCCCAGGCTGGGACAGATGAAGCAGGATTCGAACCTGGGACCTTGTGGTCGGCTGCCCGATTTATCTCATTGCCGTGTTTATGGTCGTTTTTCACTCACAAAATCCCAGGTTTGAATCCCATCGTATCCATCTATTTCAGCTTATACATCCGTGTATTATCGTCAGACCTCATACAATAAGTGTAGCTCACAGTCTGATATCCTCAACCTTATTATTGATAACTGGAACTGCCTTCACGCTCTACAGTTATAAATCGATGAATGGTGGAATACAAAAGCCAATATAGGCAAATCAACATTATATGAGTAACTATATGAGGGAAGTATCGTTTCAACTACAGGCGACGGATGAGGATGTCAAAGTTAGTCAGAAATAGAAAGGCAAGTCAGACTTTCATCACTGTGAAATCACTTTAAAAATCTTCTGCACTTCATCATGTCATAAAGAACCGAATTCACATTTTCAACACCAGTGTTAAGTGTGTGCCCGACCGAGAGCTGCTACCTTGACGTGGTGGTCGGACTTGAACACCGCAATGACCTAATCAAACTATACTGGCTGAGACTTATGTCTCTTGAGGTTCTACCATGCCAGGCAGGTTGTTTGGATAACGGTTAAACAAAAAGCAGCTACCCCATCCAATACCATGATTCAAAGAAATTCACAAAATATCATGCCGGATCGGCCGTGGCCCGGATTAACAACGACTGCGCTTCCTGCTGCCGTGTCACAGAGCAGAAGTGGTAAATATGCTACTGAGACAACAAACTAAAACAGGCCGCATGTGACCGGCCTCAAGCAGTTGTCCCCTGGGCTCTACGGTCACGCAACCAACTTCCACGGTGTGGGTAGCCGGGAAGTAACAAACGCGCTCACAATCCGAAATGCACACGAAACCTCTCTAATACTCACTCATCTTTGTCTTCATCTCTATCATCTTGCCTTCCCCCCACTGATGCAACTCCTCTACTTGATGGCTCCTCACTCCCTCTTCACTCTGTGTCCACTTAAAACGACGGAAGCCAAAAAACCACCACCGATAATCTCCTAAAGCCACGCCACCAATTTCATATAGGAGCATTTAATGTCAGGACACTTTGCCAAATAGGACAACAGCCTCTGTAATCTTTCATATTCCTTTCTACCACTACCCATTCTGTTTCACTCTTATACTTGTCAGACTGTATTGATTCGCTTCACTCATCTTCCTGTCTACCTCTGTGTGCTATTTGGAACGTGACAACTTGAACTGCTGCACTTCGGTGCCAAGTTCTATGTTAAATCCAGGCAGACCAGACAGACAACCAGCTGTTCGTATAGGTTTCAGATACGCGTCACGGAAAGCATTTCTAACAAGCTGCTGCTGCTGCTGCCGACTTTTATCAACAAATGCATTCGCTGACTCCATATTGAAGATCAAATAGTCAGCCAGAAATAAGTAGTAACAAGAAACTCTGGGGGCAGATTAACCAAGAACGTCTTACTCAGCAAATATTTAGAAGAAGAAGAAGGAGGAGACAGTTGAGTGACACCACACGACAGACCATCACTCAAGTGGAATCCGAATGGGAAACGACAGATTGGACAGGTTAGACTTGGGTGATATGGAAGAGGTCAGAGAAACAATCGGCAATAATGAGGTCAGCTAAAAGCGACCCCAGAAAATAGGGCTAAAATTGAGGATTAGACACATAGGTGTACTGATGACTGTAGGTAATAAAATAAACAGTCTGAAAAGGACCGATAAAATAAAGTGGGATATAATGAGTAAAAAAAGCTTTATATAAGAGCGAAATTCAATGAAGTTAGAATTCATGGGCCATTGGATCGGGTCCCAGTGGTTTAATGCTCTACGATCTAGCTCGCCAGCCTTGTAACCAGAAGGTCTTGGGTTCGAACTCCGGTGGGTACGTACTGATAAAGAGCCCCGAACTAGGACGGGGGAAACAGCTGTCCAGTACTTCCAGGTTTTCCAATGGTTCTGTTACCGTTGTCAACTCATGATGAAATCCTGTAACCAATTACACTTTAGTTATTCAGCCAGACGTATACACTAACCTAGTGCATTAAAGATAAGTTGCCATTAGTAGTAGCCCATATCAATGTGTATATACAAATTTAACTGCTGCTGTAACGCTAGTTACGTAGGTGTCGCGTACTTGGAGGAATTTATGCAGTTTGGCTTGGTAAAGGAGTAACCAAATCAATAAGTAGTGCTGTTTTATCTCATTTAGTGGATATAGGTGAACACGTCATCAAAATAGGTGAGTCATTCACGGTTGTACATTGACTACCACCGTGCCATCCGCTTAAGGGTAAGCAAATACGCACCCTAGTTATAGTTGAAGCTGTATAGATTAATACGAGTGAACCTAACCTATACGTGCAAAAATAGTACATCCATTCTCTTTTTTTACCTTGACCTACTATAAGGTCATCCAGGACGTGATCACCTCACATTTTCACGTCATTTTCACATAGTTTACTCCATAGCATTATTATTATTTGTCATCTATTAGATTATTTGATGACAGTTCACTCTATAACCACTTTATTTTATTATTATAACATACATATCATAATACGTATGAGGATAATGGCAATAAAATTGGACTGTTATTACAGCTAGTGAGGACAAATACTTGCTGCGGATGAAATTGGCTGGTCACCAGTCGCACACCTATGAATTCAACTGCTCATGTGGAGCTAGTTACATTGGCCGTACTCAGAGGGCTTTTTCCATGCACGCGCGTGAACATGTACCTGTATAGTTGAGTAAAGGAGTAACCAAATGCATAATTAGTGCAGTCTTAGCCTACTTGGTAGATTACTGGACACCCGATAAAACTTGACCAAGCGTTCTCAGTTATTTACCGCGTTCCTAGTAATTTATCTAGAGGAGCTCGATTACGTGTTCTATCAGTAGCTAAAGCGGTTGCAATTAATACCAGAAGACCATCTCTTTGCATACAGAAGAAGTATGTTCAACCTCTATGTTTACCTTGGCCTACAATAAAGCCAACAAATCCTCCATAAACATTAACACTATAAATTCCTTTCACAATTTTTTCTTTTCTTGTTCTTCTATTCCTCTGTTTCATTGACAAACGTTCATTTTCGACTTTTATGATTTAATGACCTTTCTTATGATTTCATCACCTTAGGTTTTAGTAGTGCTTTTCTAACTTGTTATCGTGTTTACAAAATCGTGTTCATTCTACTTCATTATATTCATTATTATTATTATTTGACAATCATTATCAATAACTCTGTCCTTTCTCCTTTTCTGTTTTCTTTCTTCTTGCGTCGGTGGCACGGTGGTTAGGACTCTCGCCGACCATGCACATGGTCCGAGGTTCGATTCCCTGCCGACCCACACCTGATATCTATGGTCGGCCTGCAAAATTTGGACTACCGATATCCATGCTGAAAATTCCATACTCGTACCAAAAATACGGTGTGGAATCAAGCTGTAATAAAAATAAAATAAAAAATTGCATGATTTGCCTCATTCTGATGAAATGAACTTTGTAAAGTATGCCGATGATCTAACTATTTCAGCGTCTGTTAACTCCCAGCTTGACTGTGCTAAGATGAACAGCTTTCTATCAGGAATTAGCAAATGGTCTTCGTGTAACGGCCTTAAACTAAATCCTTCCAAATGCCAGACTGTTAATTTCAGTTTCCGATGTAAACGAAAGTTAAATGAAGCCGTTGGTTCCTATGACCCTTGCAAAATTGATGATACTGATATAGAAATCAAGTCTGAAGTTAAGTATCTTGGATTAATTCTATCTTCTGACCTATCCTGGTCTTCCCATGTCTTAGCGATTTCTAAAGGAATATTTCATCTGACTTTTTACATTAAGAATTTGAGGAACTCAGGCATAAGCCAACTACTCCTCTTACAGTTTGTCAACTCGCGTATTTTACCTATTCTTCTTTACTGTTCACCCCTGCTTATTCTTTCCTGGATTGCTTAAAAAAGACTATGTCATACTTCGTAGAACTCTGAAGACTGTCAGTAGGACGAGTGGTATCCCATTGGGCCATGTCGTTGACATTGTTACGGATAGACACTTGATGTCATGTAATAAATTTGCTAAAGGAATTTTGTCAGATTGTGAGCACCCACTCTACCCGTAGCTCCAACCTTGTGTCTCCTCAGGTAAAACAAGAAGTCTTTTTAGAAGAATTTACGTACGTACGTCTAAGTATAAAAATTCCACTATACCATATTTAGCACGTACTTTATGTGATGAAAATGGTGTCAGGCATGAACTAACTAACCTTTGCACTACTAAATAAACCATTTCTTCCACCCTTACATTACTAAACTTTATTGTGATTGTATTTCTTATATTAATAATCCTCTCAATTTTTATTTATTTATTTTTTTCATAAGTGTGAACATCGTTTAAGCTGTGTTACCACTGTTAATCTTGTATTTCCCCTCACTATACTAAATCAACAGAACATTAGATTCACTACACATGCTAAAATTTTCAAACTGAATCGACAATACTGTTTGAAACAAACTCACTATTATTATTTTTATAATAATTATTATTGTAAATTTAATGATCTCAATTCGTGCCTAGAATATTTTTGACTTTATGTCGTAAATGTGGACAAATTCCTCTGGTTACTTTTGTTTTAATTTTTAATTTTATTTATATTTTAAGTAAATCAGATGCAATATTGTGACAAATGCTGAGAATTCCATTCTGTATTATAAGTACTGTTTTTGGAATAAAGTAAATTATTATTATTATTATTATTATTATTATTGTAATTTTACAGCATATCATCGTCACTATTTTACAATCATTCTTATTGTTGTTATTTTCAACCTTGAACTTATGTCTAGACCGCCCCATTCGTTGGTTTATTTTCATATTGTCTCACACAATCTGATTACACTCACTCTCGAAACCTGTATTTTCTGTTGACTATATTTATATATATACGCACAAATCATTAAATTAAATTACTTCATCTCATTTCGCCCCGTGTTCTCATTGACCATGAATATTAAAACACTATGTGACCATTGTTTCATCCCATCTTATACTTGTTCTACAATCCACTATCTAATATGATTCTAATTTGCCTTTACTGGCTATTCTATGCTTAAATTAATGGATTTATAATTGTAGAGCCTGAAGAAGAATTTATTAAAACCACAATTGTTCGCTCTAAATATTTTGTTCTGAAGATATATATATATATATCATGAATATTGATGTAGAAGGTTAGAATTCATGGATTGGCCATTGAGTTGAATCTCGATGACTGAGTAAGATCTATGAGCTCTCCGTCTTGTAATCGGGGTTATCTTGGGTTCGAATCCCACTGTTAGTGTGGGTGTATACTGATGAAGAGTGCCCATCTAAAACGAAACAGTTGTCCAGCTGTACTGACATCACTCCGTGGTCATTCAGTCCCGAAGCCAATCAAATCCCTGCAAAGTAGCAACGTTTTAGGTTGTATTATTATTATTATATTATTATTATTATTATTATTAATTGTGTCTTATTATGATGGTAAAGAATAGTAATTTGTTTATATTAAAAAATATTTTAAAATATTTTTATAATTATTGCAGATCGTTGGGCAGCTCTTTGGCCATTCATAGGAATTGTTGTTGAAGTTTCTATTCTAGTTATTGCTATCCTGCTATATGAACGTCATCAAATGCGTTCAAAGCCGACAAATGTGTCAGCGAAATGTGATACTTCAAGCGCTGGAGCTGGTGTTATTGGTCAAGAGAATATATCAGCAGCTGTTAATAATAATAACAACAGCAACAAAGCTAATAGTACAGGACAAAATAATCTTACAGTCCCAGTGCATATTGGTGATATAACGGGTGGCGGCGGTGCTGGTGAAGTGAATGATGGAAATGCGGATGGAAGGTAAGAAATATGTCGTGAATTGGCAGAAGTTAGAATTCAAGGACCATTGGATGGGTCCCAGTGGCTCAATGGTCTACGAGCTAGCTTGCCTTGTAACCAGAAGGTCCTGGGTTCGAACCCTGGAAGTGGGTGCGTACTGATGAAGAGTCCCAAACTAGGACGGGCGAAATAGCTGTCCAGTACTCCCAGGTTTTCCAATGGTTCTCTAATTGATGTCAGCTTATGATGAAATCCTCCATTTGATAAATATGTATTTATAACTAGCTATATACGTATATATTTTAGAATTACTTTGTATTTTTTTCATGTTCTAAATTCAATTTTGATTTTCTCGTCGATTGATTGGACCGAAAATGTGTCCGGACTCAGGTGTTGACGTGTCACCTCCTTGTACGGATGCTTTGACGAACTCTCAGGATTGATTTGAAGTAATTTTGTTGATTGGATGGATGGGTGACTCACCAGCAGTGAAATCCTCCAGGATGCGCATTTCTTCCTATTTAGGACTCGCAGTCAGCTGGTGGATGTATGTGGACTCCCCAGTAGGTCGGTGATGGTATTTTCACTGAGGCTCGAACACCCAGTGCCAATCGTTTCAACCACCAAAGCGTTATCCACTAGACCACTTGGGCTACAAAAGCCACCTCTTGTGCGACAAGTGTCAGCTATTATTATTATTTATTTTTAAATCAATTTCGATTTCTCCGTTGATTGATTAGATCGAAATGTTTGGCCTCAGCTTGACATGTCGACTCCTTGTGCGTTTGAAACTATGGAGGTACTGGGTTCGAGCCTCAGTGGGAAAAGCATCACTGACTCTACTGGGGAATGAATGCAGCTAAAACCAGCTGTGTGATGAGTCCCAACTAGGATGAATTGTGTGCTTTATCCTGAACTCCTACACTGCTAGTCACCATTTACCAAATTACATAAAGGTTAAATCTTCTGACATGGTTGAAGCATCCATCCACACAAGGAGAGTCGACATGTCAACAGAGGTCGACCGTTTCAGTCCTGTCAGTCAATCAACGCTAAAATCAAAGGTGAATTCAATATAAATAATGAATATTATAGGGTTTTGGCTATAGACAGACATTTGATAGATTTGGTCAACACAACCAACATATCAGACTGAAGAATATTCATTATTATCAATGAAAAAATGTGAAATACGCAAATTTCTATTCGTGTGTTTCTGCGAAAATACAAGTAGAAAATTCAATGAAGTTTCAGTGTTATTTTTTAATGTTAGTTCAAAAATATGAAAATAAAACAACAACTCGTACATTGTTTACATGTATATAGAATTTCAAATAATGAACTTTAGGCACCAAATGTATCTGTAACAACAGAATAAGTCGGTTATTATTATTATTGTATTGAAAAAAATATTGATTATTCAGTCACATTTACACTGTGTGTGTGTGTGCGGGTGAATAGTGGACTTGTTTAATCCAATTTTTTACTACCGTATTGGCTTATCGGAAGTTCAAAAGTTTTTTTATACTTCCTGGCTAACTAACTATGTCAGATAGAAACTTAAAGGTATAAAAGGACGGGGGTGGGGTGGGCTGCGTCACTGTCAGTTAGACACAGCTTAATGTTAGGTATATATACCACAGAGATAAGTAGTCAATATCTGCTTGGCGAGATTTAGTTACCTCTCCTATTCACTTCAATTGTTAATAAATAGATTAATAGAATTACAATTAGGGATTAAAATACCATGATAAACAGTGGGATGGGACGGATAAAGCTCAGGCAAAGTAGCACCACAATTATTGAGAAGATTGACATCGATTGTGCAATTAGGGGTTAGTAATGTAGAAATAACAAAAATAGACAGGATGTTTGGGTATGAAAATATGGTAGTGTAAATAGGGATTAAGAAAAACTTAAAATAACATGAATAAAAAAGAAGTTTGGATAAGAAAGTTAATGGGATAGTCACTATTAGAAGAATTACCTGTTTATGATGGCCACGGCAGGGACAACGGTTCAGGGTATTTCTTTTGGATAGAAAGCGTGGGTTTGTGCTTTGGCATGGTTAGAGCTTTGGGCCAATTCAACTCGCATATACCAGTTTACTTGCTCTTGCGGAGCTGAGTACATTGGCCGTACCATTCGCCAACTTGAAAAACGCGCTCGTGAACACTATCCAGCCTGGCTAGTAAAAGGAGAACGAAAACAGGTATGTAGTTCAGTGACAGAACATCTGGTCAATTCAGGACATTCAGTTCCATTGGAAAAAACATTCAAATAATACACAAGATTCGATCAAGCCTGTCAAAGGGAGTAAAACCAAGATATTTGGGCATAGCCAAGGCACTAGCCATCCAAAAGCTCAAACCCACGCCATGTATCCAAAAGAAATACGTCCAATGCTTGTCCCTACCGTGGCCATCATAAACAGGTAATTCTTCTAATAGTGACTATCCCATTGACTTTCTTATCCAATTTGATAGCGTTATTAGAAGACGGAGGTTATCTGAAAAATGTGATGTATTTGCGCCATACATTTCGAACCATCTGGTTACACATTTACTTGTCAAGTCAATATATATGGAAAAGTTGAATCAAACAAAGTGACAAAAAAGAATTAAGAATAATTAACTCGTTTGGTAATCCAATCAAATAAGGATTACCAAGGTAGGTTAAGAGTAACAACAGTGTTTTTGAATACACAGAGGGGGCTTAATTTTATGAATAGCTATAGTCTCAGCGTATTTCAGCAAACGCCCTTGACCGTTTTATAGATGACCTTAAAGGCTGAGTTGACATCAGTCTTATGGTTCATCTCGATTTGATGTTTACCTACAGACGAAGTTTGTAGTCTGACACCTATATCTATTGGTTTGTCACAATTCATCTGTTTTTCTAATCATTTTGGGATATGCTCTCCCACCCTCACGTGCAAAGCGTGATTGCTCCTCTCTATGTATGTATGTCCACACACACACGAAGATTGGTTAATTGTGTGGGATGTGATATAATCACTTGTGCACCTTTGAGGTTTGAAGTGAAGCATATTTTTAGCTTTTTCCACAATTACAAGCTGGGTTGCATAGTAGGTTTTACGAATGATCGAATTTAACCTTTGTCTCAAAATCCTACCGTTTATTTCCCCGTGATATGGTAATTTGATGAAAACCTTTTTCTTAGGGACGGTATGGATTGTAGGCTTAGAGACTAGTTGACTTCTACACCTGTTTATAAATTTTAAAGGATATCCGTTTTCAACAAGAGTATCCATCAATATTTCATTTTCTTTGTCTATAACATCAGTCGTGCAAATACGCTGAATCCTCTTAAATAGACACTTCACCAAGCCTCTCTTATTCTGTAATGGACAAAAGCTTTGAAAATTAAGGTATTGCCCTGTCCAAGTGGGCTTTCTGTAGATAGACCGTCTTATTGAGCCATCATCTCTTCGACTCGGAAGTATATCTAAAAATGTTAGCTGGTTGCGACTTTCTTCCTCGCATGTTAGAGTAATATGATTCTGTACAGAGTTAATCCTGTCTAATAGACGACTCGCATCTTCATAATCGTCGCATATCAAAGTGATTTCATCTACATATCTCTTATAGAAGGGCAATTTAGAATTTAGAATTCCACATATATTGACTTGACAAGTAAATGTGTGATCAGATTGTTCGAAATGTATGTGGCATCTGAAATTAATATTATTTATTATTGATCCTTATGGCTCCAAGTAGAACAGTGGAAGTCACCAGAACAACAGCTTTACTTTATCCTATTCTCTCTGATCGTCTTTAGCTAGCCTTAGGATTTCTCATAGCCTGTGATCTTCTCCATGTCACCCTTGGATCCATGACACACTTGTCTTTTTACATTCGGGTTACACTTGAGTCTGCGAAGCATCGTTTCAACTACAGGCGGAACTGACGAGGATATCAAAGCCAGAATCGGAAAAGCAAGACAAGCTTTCATTACTCTCAAATCTGTGTGGAAGTCAACAGCACTCACCATCAAAAATAAGATCCGGATTTTCAACTCCAATGTAAAGTCAGTGCTACTATACGGATCAGAGACTTGGCGCGTCATAAAGAGCATCTCAAACAAACTTCAGACCTTCATTAAGAGTTGTCTTCGCTCAATACTACTCAAGATCAGATGGCCGGCCAGAAAAGATCAGCAACAGGGAGAGATCTCTGGGAGCGAACCAATCAGGAACCGATTGTGAAACAAATAGGCAGGAAGAAATGGAGATGGATTGGCTGGCCATACTCTGAGGAAACCATCAAGTGACATCACTAGACAAGCCATTGCTCGAGTGGAACCCGAAGGGGAAGCGGCGAGTTGGTCATCAGTGCAAGGATGACTTGGAGGAGGTCATGCGAGGAGGAGATGAAAGCATGTGGGCAGACCTGGAGCGGGGTGAAAGGTTGGCAGAAAACAAAAGGTAATGGAGGTGCGCAGCTGAAGCCTTCTGTTCCTCTAAGAAGTAAAGAATACAATAATACAATAACAATAATACACTTGAGCCAGATGGCTTCCATAAATCGCGATGTCAGCCAACGGTCTCCTTAGAGTGTGCTCAATATATCCATCTCCATTTTCTCCCACATATTACTTGAGAAATAAATCCTTGATTGATTTGTTCCCAGGCAGAGTTTCTTGTTGCTAATTATTTCTAGCCAGTCATTTGATCTTCAGTATGGAGCCAGACAGTGAAGTGAGCAACTGTTGATGCAAGTCTTCAGTAGCCTGTTGGAAATGCTTTTCATGATGCACTGACCAAGTTTTTGACCCATACAGAAGAGCTGACTAACTTAACGTTGGTGTTGACAATTCAAATCTTGTTCTTTGTGCAGAGTGAGCTTAGTAGACTACCAATTCTAGCAGGCTTCGACATACTCATCCGTTTCTCCTCTGGTTAAATGGAACTCGTCATAACGGTGCACATTGATTTGGTGATATTAGATGGTTGGAAGCAATCGGGCAGAGGAAGTCTTTAACCTAAGGTTTACGCTAGTTGGTACTCATTAGTGAGCAAGGCGTATGTGCAGTCGTCACCTTAAACGAACTCATGTCCCTTCTGATATATTCCAACTCGCGTCAATCACTCCTTCAGTGAGAGACGTTACCACTGAGCTATTCAGGCTCGTGATTGACCTCGTATAGGACTGTGTACTGGCTACTTTGATTGGACACTAGTCAGTAGTAACTAGTGTCATGTGTCTAGTGCCAACGAAACCTACGTCAAGCAAGGCTTCCTGCCAATTGCTTCCAACCATGTAAAAGAAGTCAGTTTATCTAAATACTGTCATTCAATATTAGATGATATATTAAAAATATATATATGTATACATCGTATCATGCATGAATAAGTAGCAGTGGCGTATAAAAATCGAACCATTTCATCATGAGCATCAGTTTTCTAACTATGTCTAATTATAGCAACCGACTGTGATTCATTATAATGAACGTGTTTAAAAATCTTACTTAGTTTAACTGGATTAAAAAAAATCAGTACTATTGGAACTCGAAGTATCCTGTATGATGTGTAAATAAGACGAAGAAGAAGAGATACAGACTTGCCGAGATATTTTATTACTTCCCCCCCTGCTACTTCAAGTTAAAAAGGATTTATTATTATTATTATTATTATTATTATTATTATTATTATGTAAAGAGCAGTTAGTCCCTTTTTATAAATTTAGATAGTGTTATTTTTAGGTGACACGGAGGATTATCTGAAAAATGTCATGTGGTGTGTTGGTGCAATATCATTGCACACTTCGAACAACAATCTGACCATATACACACACACGCTTGTGTCAGTCAAGACAATTTATATGAATGATATATAATAGTCTGTCTGTCTGTCTGTCTGTCTGTTTGTTTTCGACATAGAACTTTGCACAAATGTGCACCAGTTCAAGTCGCCACACTCCGTGTAGCACGCGAAGCAAGAGAAGAAAGTACAAGAAAAGCATAATAGAAACAGTGAGCAGAGGTGTGAGACAAAGGAGTAATAAAGAAAAACAAAATAGTTTCATTTGAGATCATAAGTCACAAGAAGTGGATGCATCTGCGCCACTGAGAACGATTTTGAGCCATGTCACCAATTGTTTCCAACCATAGATTTTTACCGTCCCGAGGACCCCAACCAGGAAGTCTACACCTTCCTACGTGGCTTAGACCAACTGTTGTGGATTTCATTGACTGGTGAAGCCAAGTTTTTGTTTGACCGCCGCTAGCTTTTTTCCAGCCTGACCCTATATCCGCTAACATTGCTCGTCGAGGGAGGCGATGGCTTGGCATACGTAACACATGTCCTAACCATCTCAGTCTTTGTAGCTTCACGACTTCGTCGATTGATTTCCCCTGTTTACCTAGAACTCTACGCCTAACCTCCATGTTGCTCACCTTATTATGCCACTTCACACGGGAGACAGAACGCAGGCATCTGTGATTAAAGACAGCTAATCATTTCATGTCTTCCACTCTCAGTGACCAGGTCTCACAACCATACAGGAGGACGGATCGGACTGATGAGCAGTACACCCGCCCTTTGGTCGATAGTCGAACATCTCGTCTACGCCAGAGTCGGCGTAAACTAACAAATGCGAAACGAGCCCCCTGTATTCGTGCTGAGATTTCGTCAGAGATCAACCCGTTGGCACTGGCTCATGGTACTTCCCAAATAAGTGAAGTGGTCAACGTGCTCTACCACTTCACTCCCTATTTTTAAACTAGGCGTCGATGTAGTCCAGTCCTGTATCATCATCTTGCATTTGGCGGGAGCGAATCGCATGCCAAACCTTCGTAGATTGCGGCTCAAGGCCAATTAAGACACACAAAATGATAAAGGGATTTAAGAAGTAATTATTTAACACTACATTTGGTTATGTATAAAATCAGAGAGAGAGAGAAACTCGACTTATAATTATTGAAAATGCCAAAAATGTACTCTACCACACTAAATGACTGACTGGTTTCAACAACAACAAAAAACTTTCCACACAACTGCAGCAGTTCGACTTAACACACTCCCTGTTTGTAAGATGATGCTATAGAACTGACTGGACTACACTGACTCCTAGCTTAGAATTAGGAAGTGAAGTGGTAGAGCGTGTTGATCACTTGACTTATTTGGGAAGTTGCATCAGCCCACGGCAGTGGATGGATCGCTGACGAAATCTTAGCACGGATACAGAAGGCTCGTTTCAGGTATATCGGTTTAGGCCGTCTCAGGTGTAGACGTGATATCCAGCTAGCCACTGACCAAAGGGCGGGTGTACTTCACGGCAGCAGTCCGCTTCGTCCTCCTTTATGGCTGTGAGACGTGGCCATTGAGAGTGGAAAACATGAAAAGCCTGACTAGCTGTCTTTGATCATAGGTGCCTGTGTTCTATCTCCCGTGTGAAGTGGTAGGTGTAATAGGGTGATAAATATTGAGGTTAAGCTTCAGTCGAGTGCTGGGTAGGTAGGTAAAGAGGGGGAAATCAATAGACGAGGCTGTGAAGTTTCATCGATTGAGTGACATGGTTATGACATTTGTTACGGAAGTGTAGCTATCGCCTTCCTCGACAATAAATGTTACCTGATATAGATCAGGTTGAAAAAGAGCCAGTGTTAGTCAAACCAAAACATGACTTCATCAGTCAATGAAATCCATAACAGTTAGCTTAAGCCACGTAGGAAGGTGTAGACTTGCTGGTTGGGGTCCTCAGAACGGTAAACACCAAGAACTGGAGACAATCGGTGATATGGCTCAAAATGCATCCACACATTGTGACTTATAATACCCAATAAAACTATATTGTTCTTCGATATCACTATTCTTCTTGCCTCATATCTCTGTTTACTGTCTCTATTTAGCGTTTCTTTTTACTTTCCTCTTCTTCTCTGGCTTTGTGTGCTGTGCTGAGTGAAGTGTGACGACTAGAACTTCTGCACATCTGTTCAAAGTAGTTCTCTATTGAAACCAGTCAGTCAGCACACAAAGCAAGAGAAGAGAGTAAACAGAAATATGAGGCAAAAAGACTAGTAATATGGTGGAAGAACAATACAGTTTTATTGGATGGATATGACAGTTCACATAGAGTGAATGCGCATCTGCTCCATCATTGACAACGATTTTTAGCTATATCACCAATTGTTTTCAGCCTTCATTGATTTTTACCATTGCAAGGAACCCAACGGGGAAACCAGTGTGTACACGTCCCTACTGTTGTGGATTTCATTGACTGATGAAACCATGTTTTGGTTTGACCATCTGTCTGTCTGTCTCTGTCTGGATTCAACATAGAACTTGTCACCGAAGTGCAGAAGTTCCAGTTGCCACGTTCCAAATAGCACACAAAAGTAGACAAGAAGATGAGTGGAGAGAATCAATACAGTCTGACAAGTATAAGAATGAAACAGAACGGGTAGTGGTAGAAAGAAATATGAAAGATTACAGAGACTGAATACATCCGCGCTGGCCATTGACAACGATTTTGAGCCATGTCACCTATTGTCTCCAGCCGTTGATTCCTAGAGTCCCGAGGCCCCCAACCCGGGAGTCTGCATCTCCCTACCTGACTCAGTTTGACCATCACTAGCCAGCTGGCATAAGCCAGACGGAAAATTTTTTTTAGATATCAACAGAATATAAAACGACCAACAGAGATTCCAATAGAAACTGATACTAAGATAAGAGATATTCGATTTACTCCCTATCGGACAGTGACGTCAATATTACAAGAATCATGTGACTGAATCAGTCTACGCAGGTTTATTATTATTATTATGTGTCATTCAACTTTGCTTTCTTATCCATTTATCTGTTTGTCTCTTTCCACTCCATTATAGAGATCAAAAGGCCGATGAGATTCGTTTACGCGCCAACGTGAAACAGTAAATTTGAAAAATACACAAACACGCGCCCACACAGAGAGTGGGTGGGTGTGTGTGTATATGTGTGATGATAACACAACATTTATATTTCTAAATCATGCGCAATCATTTTTCTTTGTCTGGTTCAATAAAACACAAACAAAAAAGGACAAAATGTTCTCATATGTGTGTTCAGTAGAGTCTTAATTTCATTCTTCGTATCTATCATCCATACATCACACATACATACATACCAATGCCTAAGTCCAGTCATTATTGAGAATTTATCAATAGCTTAGCTAACAGAATTTCAAATTCTTTTGATTATGTAAATTAGTCTTCTGTGTCTCTGTGCGTGTGTATATCGTCTGATGATGATGATGACGATGATCTCTGGAATCTCATTTTATCATTCAGCTTGTTTCTTTTTGAAGTCTCTCTCTCTCTCCCTCTTTGTCTGATCTGATGTTGTCTCATTCTCTTGGTGCATACCTACGCTCATTCAAAAAAGCCTTTGACCTATATTAGTCTTTGTGCTATATTGTATTTCTTGTCAAATGTATTCATGCTTACACACATGCACACATACACATTTTGCATGCATACAATCATTCGTCTTATCTTTACAAAAATCAGCCCCTTTTTAATTTCGTTGTCACACCACATTCTGTCCTTCTGGTGCAGTTTTGATTTCTTTTTTTCTGTTTTTGATTTTGAAAATCAATAGAGTTTCGTGTTGTTGTTTTTTGTTGTTGAGTACATTCAAATCGTTTTGCTTTTGTTTTGTTTTAAACCTCGATCTTTGTGTGTGTGTGTGTGAGTATGCTTTGTTGTATTGAGTGTGTGCTTGTGTGTATGTATCACAGTGATTATACTGAATGTGGAAGTCAAAGGGAAGACGGGGATGGGGTGGAGTGATGTGCAGTTTGTTGGTGCATGCGTGGGTGGGAGTGGGTGTAGGCTGAGGAGATGATCTCCTGTTATTATTCACATTTTGTTTGTTCATAATGTCTTGGTGTGTGTGTGTGTTTTACTGTGTAGCATATGCCTTGTTGCTTCAAATATAGAGTAGTTCATTGTTTTGTTCATCTTGTTATTGTCGTTGTCGGTTTGGTAGACGTGGAAGACGAAGAGGAGGGAGTCTGTCTACCTACCTAGATGATGCAATCTCTTTAATGTGTTTTTTTATTTTGAGAATATTCACTACTTATCTGTCTGTTTTCGACATAGAACTTTGCACAAATGTGCGGAAGTTCAAGTCGCCACACTCCGTGTAGCACGCGAAGCAAGAGAAGAAAGTACAAGAAAAGCATAATAAAGACAGTGAGCAGAGGTGTGAGACAAAGGAGTAATAAAGAAAAACATAAACAGTTTCATTGGAGATCATAAGTCACAAGGAGTGGATGCATCTGCACCACTGAGAACGGTTTTGAGCCATGTCACCAATTGTTTCCAACCATAGATTTTTACCGTCCCGAGGACCCCAACCAGCCAGTCAGGAAGTCTACACCTTCCTACGTGGCTTAGACCAACTGTTGTGGATTTCATTGACTGGTGAAGCCAAGTTTTTGTTTGACCGCCGCTAGCTTTTTTCCAGCCTGACCCTATATCCGCTAACATTGCTCGTCGAGGGAGGCGATGGCTTGGCGGGCATACGTAACACATGTCCTAACCATCTCAGTCTTTGTAGCTTCACGACTTCGTCGATTGATTTCCCCTGTTTACCTAGAACTCTACGCCTAACCTCCATGTTGCTCACCTTATTATGCCACTTTACACGGGAAATAGAACGCAGGCACCTATGATCAAAGACAGCTAGTCTTTTTAAGGTTTCAGAAGAGAATTGATTTAGAATGACAAATGGAACAAGTGAAATAATACTGGGGACAGTCCAAAGTGAGATTAATAATAGTAGTAACAATTGACGTAATAAAGGACCAGTACACAAACTGAATAAACAAAACGAAAAATAGTTTAGAGCCAAAATATGAAATAGGGATTACTATACTTTAGCATAGAAGAATTAGGATCATGGAAGTTGGAGGGGTTGACCGAACTTTTTCTGTACACAGAGATCTGGCTTTTTTGTTTCGATAGCCAAAGCTTCAGCAATACAGATGAGTCGGGCTCTTTGTGATTTCGGTAAATTACTTTTTCTTTGTAGATGACTTTAAAGGCGGAGGCTATAGAGATAGGGTGATCATTACCGACCAGATGTTCAATGATCGCGCTTCTTTTTGGTCCACTTCCACCTTTTCTTAACCATGTAGGATAGTGTTCTTGCATCTTCTTGTATAGAACTCGAGTCCAACGACCGATATACCTAGCTCCACACGAGCAAGTGAATTGATAAACGCACATGGAGTTGGTCAACCACTGGATCTTGTCCTTCAGGTTATTGAACAGTAATGGTCGACTGGTAAAGGCTATTCTCAAAGATGCATCAGGGAATGTTCTTTTCAGAGACTATGATATCCTTGTGTATAAAACTTGGTGGAAATCCATTTTCTATTAGGATTTTCCTCAAAAGATTTAAGTCATCTTCCACAGTCTCAGGGCTACATATACACCGAATGCGGATGTTTAACATCCGAATCTTGTTCTTTATGCTGCAGAGGAATTCCCTACTGACTTCAGAGTGATGAAGGCCTGGCTGGCTTTGATATCTCATCAATGCTACCAGAAGTCGAGACGACGTTGCCTGGTCAGATAAGTGAGTGGTGCTTGTTGTTGATTGGTTGGTTGTGGAGTATCTGCTTCACCTCTGTGTTTACTGGAAGTTCCAACTTTGCTGCTTATTTCTCTTGCCAACTTGTTGGAGTTCTGCATCCAGAGCATCTTTTATTCTGTCCAGGATAACTCCACTTGATATTTTACTTAGCGTGGACTAGAGCATCATTGGTTCCGCGTCAGTTCTTGCAAAGGTATAAGTCGCCTTTCTTAGCGGTTTGATAAAATAGTCTTTCAATCAATCAGTAGGAATCTTTCCGTTCAAATATTTTGCAATAGTGGTGTGATCAAATCCGCATTTAAATGAATTTATTCAAATATATAACACACACAATGCTATAATGTTAAATAATTGGATGGTGTCGTTTTCAAAGCACAGTTTATTGATCATAATCATATCAGTGTATGTGTGATTCATTCACACACACAACTTGCTAACTTGACTATTTATTCAGTTAGTAATAATACTGTATTAATGAGAACAAAACACGTAGTTCAATCGGCAAATTCATTTTCTTAGCTGTACAATCGTAAATACATACATGAGTTATTTTGTATGCATGTTTACATTAAGTTTGTCAAACGAAAATACAATTGGTTACGGTTATTTTAACTAAACAGGTGAAGATTAGTGAGTTTCGGGTAGAGTTACGTAATACAAAAACGGTCAAGAAAATTGGGTGTTAATGAAACTAGTGTAGTAACAATGGCGGTGAGTTGTCATAAACAGGAGTTAAGTAATAATATGAACAGTATGATGATTATTGAGTTGTACTGAAGATACACACAGGAATAAAGTAGAGTATACGAAATTATGTAAGAGTTCCAGATGAATACAAGAACTATAAGCAGATAAAAAACAGACAAATAAAAAAAACTAAGTCATCAAAAATCAACAAAGTTGATGCCATGATAATAGAAGTGGTTGAGTAATTCTAATTTGTATGCTCAACTGCGGTTTTTTATGTGAATGGTCAAGCTTTAGCAATACACAGAAAACGAAATCGTATTGCCTTTGATAGGTTATTCCTGACTCTGTAGATTACTTTGAAGGAGGTTTTTGTTGAGATGGAATGATCAGTGTTAAGCAACGGTTCAATTATCCCACTCCTTATAGCACCACTAATGCCTTTTCGCTACCATCCTGGAGTGTTCTCGAGTCCTCTTGGACGGGTTGCGCTTCGAACGGCCGATGTACCTGGCTACACAGCAGCATGTGAACTGATATATGCACATAGAAGTGGTCAGTTGCGGGATCTTGTCTTTAAGACTTCTGTAGATCAGTGGGCGACTGGTACCATCATTTGTTTTGTTGACTTCTCATCAGCTGCAAAAACTGTTGTTCTTGCTTTATTCAAATTCCTTAAGAGGAATTAATGTATGAAAATACTGCATCAGATGTCTGTTAAAAAACATCTGTTATTTCATCAAATGTACTTTATCTGTTACTCCCTGAAATGTATTTCTAAAATTGTTTAACATAAAATGCATTTTGTACTTCGCGCGGGTTTCTTTAATAATGATGATTATTTGTTGCCTTGGTTTCCGAGTGGAACATAGGGCCTCAACAACACATCTCCACTTTGTTCTATTTTCTCCTGTCCTCCTTAGCTGGACCCACGATTATCCATAATCTCCCATCATCAGACGATGTCCTCCATGACACCGCACCGATGACCCAATCGTCGTTTCTTATTCAGGTTCCACTCGAGAAATGGCGTGGCGCGCGCTTTTATTCGACGGCCTCTTCAGGGGTGTGCGCTCAATCCATCTCCATTTCATTCTACATATCTGAGGTGCGATAAGTCCTTGGTTAGTCTTCTATCATATTTTCTTGGTGCTATCGAAAAGCCGGAGCTGTGTGTTCAAAAGAAGTTAGTCCAACCTCTACAACTACCATGGACCTAGCTTGGTATTTTCCCTTTGTTTCCGTCTTTTTTTTCTCTTCTTCGTCTGTTTTCGTTCTCGTTTTTTCCTTTAGAGCATTTTTCGTTCGCTGTGTGTCTGATTCTTAGTCCCTCAATCTTCGTTTAATCCACCTAATTTTTTTTCAGCTATAAAAACAGTTATTTTAAGTTTGTTTCCATGCTTTTCCCTGTTCACATTTATAATTCGTTTGAAATAACTATTTTACAATTATATCTTAATCCTGTGCAATTTTGTGTTTCTAAGGCTTTTGTAATCTATATTCACACGTCCTATTTTTTTCTGGCCATTCGATCTTCAACATAGAGCGAAGACGTCAGCTGTTGATAAAAGTCTGTCGTAGTCTACTGAAAATGCTTTACGTAGCACGCCAGGTTTCTCGCCCATATCGAAGAAGTGACTTGACATAGGTGTTGAAAATCCGGATCTTTTTTTAAATTTTGAATGCAGAAGATTCCAAACCTATTCCAGATTGATGAAGGTGTATCCTGCCTTCCTGATTCTGGCCAGCACCGTGACATGTGCCCCTGGTTGAAATGATGCTTCCTAGATAAGTGAAGGAAGTAATCTCATTCAATTTTCTTCCATTGATGGTGATTGGTGCTGGTTGTTGTTGTGGTTCGTTGGTTATCTTCACCTCTGTCTCTGTATGTTCACCTGTAGTCCTGTCTTTGCTGTCTGCCTTATCAGCCAGCTTAATGGCTTTCGCCTGTAGGTCTTCTAGTTTGCATGTCATTAAGCATAAATCATCCATGCGTGAAATACAAATCTTCTAGAGTCTTCATATCGGTGATCCAACATATCCCTGTCTTCTCACTCAGAACGTTCAGTCTGGCGCACAGTCCAATCCACCACAGTTACGAATATCATCGGTGATAATAGTAGACAGCCTTTGCTTACTCCTGTCTTCACTTGAAAGACTTCATTGAGTTTTCCGTTGTAGCTTAATAGTAATAATATTAATGGCTTATTCCAAACAGTATTTTTGATACAGTGTGGAGTGTTATACAACATTACACCTACTTTTCTCTTTACATAGTAAGGAGTAAATAATTAAACAGGTCGTTTACGTTGATAATAACTCCAAGTTTGACCACGTAATAATATCATTTAGAGTACCATTGAAAACCAGCACTGGACATCTGTTTATTTTGTCACTGGAAATACGCACGCTCACCAACAGGGTTCGAACCCAAGGCCTTCAGGTTTCGAAACAAGCTTATAGACCATTCAGCCACTGGGAGGCCAACTAAATGGCTTATAAATTACAACTCCTACAAATTCGTGACATATTTAGCGCAACTAGCACCAGCCAATGTCATCGGCGGTGAATATTAGTCATTTCTGTCGACCGAATGTGCCCACTGGCCACGACTACTCACTAGAGCTCCAGGGAATTTCGTCGTGTAGCCAGTTAATAGCAAGTATCATT